AAATTTTTGAAAATTAAACTGTATATAGATATTACTAACATTAACATTTGGTAAAAATTTCAAGTATTTACAGTGATTAGTTTTTAAATTACAACCATATAAAAAATTCGATTTGGTCGAAAACTGGTTTTGCCTAAAAATTCCCGTTTTTCTGTCATTTTTTTTTTGTTTTTCTTGATGTTTTTGAAAACTGTTGGAAAATGTTTACTTTTCACTTCTATAATGCACCAAGGATATTCACTTTTATATCGGAAACCACGCCCAACGTTTGAAGTTGAAGCATTATTTCGACTAGTTATGATGTACAGACACAAAAAAAAAACACACATCATTGTAAAATCAATACATTCATCACTTCGTTCAGAATCTAAAAAATGTATTGGATTTTATAATATAAATATAAATATATTAGTGTGAAATTTAGACTGGTTTTTCTTTAACCAATTTTTCAATATTTGGAATKAAATGTGAAACTTCAATTTTTAATAAGAAGTGTAAGTGTTCATCAGTCAAACGAGATCTTTCTGAACATTTTGCGGAATTCATGCGTAAAAACGTTTGTTCACAAATATAAGTAGAACCAAACAATGTAAATATACGCGTTTATAATTCTTTTATTTTTGGAAAATCATCATGAAGGGTCTTATATAAATTAATTAAATCTGTGTTTTTATCTGTGATATCTTTATATACATTTTTCAAATGATTATTTGTTTTTAAATCAATACGTTCAAGTTGAAGAGTTTCTTATTGGACATAATTTTCATCAGTCAGAAATAGATTTTCAATCATCCGAAATAAATTCATAATATGTAATTTGAAATCTTGAAAACGGTTTACTAATTCTATTGATAATTGTTTCAACATAAGTATATACTCACAAAATGATTTGTCATTGGAACATCAATAAAAGTTTTGTTTAATTTTTGACACGTTTTAAAATGTAGAACATTTTGCTTTAATATTTGGTTTTTAAAAAGCTGTGATTTAATTTCAAACGATTTTACATCACTTATAAGCTCGAAAATAATTTCCGACTCGTTCACTTTTGAAATTTTGTTTGAATTTTTCTAACAGAGAAATTCTAAGATTCCCTAAAAATATAACTTTAAGCATTTATTTCCACATTTACTTAGCGAAATACCTTTTTTCAAAAAAATAAAACAATTATGAACTATGATAAATATGTACCTTTACAATTGACGTATTTGCTTTGATGTTTACTTTCATAATGTCCTTTAATATTTAAGTTTTTAAAGACCGCAACGGTTTTGCAGCATATCTAACAAATGGCTTATTATTACGATGCTCAATAAAAAAGTAACTGAGACTCCAATTATCATTGAAAACACGGCATTCGGAATCAATTTTGCGATTTTTATTTTGAGACATTTTAATAATTAAAATTTAATTTATTATATTTTGCAAACAAAAAAGTGAACCTTCAGTTTATAATGACGAAAACCAACTAGCAACTATYAGCGTGGAAATATTATTCAGTGCTTTAAACACATACAATTAGTCATAAATTCGATAAGTTACAAAGATAATAATATATCGGATAAAATATACAACAAATATACCTAATGTCCTATATATATCTACTGTACATTTTATCGAAATGAACAAAAAAAAATCGTGAAGTATTTAGGTATGGCCCGCAAGTTGAAAAAGGTTGGGCACTCTTGGTATTGATTRTAGATTTATTAAAAAAATTAATTAATTAATAATAAAATAATCTATATATAACAAAAATTGATTCCTGTCTATTTGTTTGTCCTTATTATGCTTCCTGGACGGGTGGGACCGATTGCGCCGAAATTTGATACTGAGATATACATATTAAACCTATGAGTAGAAAATAGGCTAAATTAAAAAAGAGTTTAAGAAAAAAAGCAAGTGAATAAAAAGTAACGGAAATAAAAGCAAGTAAAAAAATGCAAATGAAAAAAAAGCAATTGCCCGAATTGGGGAAAAAAGCGAATTTAATAAAAACATATGGAAAGAAAGCGAAAACCAATTTTGTAAAAATTATTATTAATTTATAGTTTTAAAAATTAATAGGTATACATATTATTAAAGGTATATATTATATAAGGTATATACTATATAATATTATAGGTAATTCATAAGAAATAATATTACATTCCAATCATTCCATTCATGTATATATGTATACTATAAAAATGTTCGTGTTACGTTTAAATATTAAAATTGACAATGAACATAAAATTAAAATTAAATGCTTAAGTTTACAATATTTACAAATAATTTATTTAAAAAAATCAAAAAAATGGTATATTATGGAGTGTAAAAAGTTAGGACAGACTACAGTTTGTATATCGAAGATATATTATGTTTGGGTAATTTTTGTAATATTATTTCATATGATTTATTATAATATTATATACCTTTAATAATATGTACCTACTAATTTTTAAAACATGAATCAATAATAATTTTTACAAAATTGGTTTTCGCTTTCTTTTCCATATGCTTTTTTTTAATTTGCTTTTTTCCTGTTGCTTTTTTTCCTTATAACATATATCTTGAATTATTGTTAACTGTGCACTTCATAGTCCGTAAAAAATGTTACCTCTTAAACTWTGTCTTCCAAAAAAAGATCGATCGGTAGTTGTGTACGCCTCAAGCCMTCAAGTATAAAAGAAAATGTTAATATGAGCTTCAGAAACAACTGAGCAATGAGATTCAAGATTGGGAACCAACACACAACTTTATGTTCAATACCTACGGACGAATCACTCACACAGATTTAAATCTCAGTATACATTCCATTACGATGTAAATTATAATTAGGTACAGCATTCATCCAAGTGTGGTTATTGGAAAAATTGATAAATAATGCTTATATTATAGAGTATTCAAATTTAAGAATAAGGCACTAGATCTGTGCTGTTGGCGAAAAATTAAAATTGCTGGAATTACATACACTACTCGAACCATTATCAACGTTGGTATCGAAACATTTCTTAGCGAACATCAGCAAATAMAAATCATGTATCCAAATGATATTATTCAGGGCAACGAATATTCTGCGTGACGATTACATGCCAACATTTAAAATGCAAGGTCAAATCTATCATCGTGCTGGATCATTACTATCTACCAATGTCAGATACGGGAGGTGCTCAAACAGACATTTTGAGATTTACGATGGATTTTTTTTTTAATTTTATTTGTTGATTTACGCGTCTGAAAAATATTTTGTGTACGCACCAGAAGGAAAAACAAAAAATATTGTGTATCCAAATGGACCTCAATAAATACCATCCATTATTTGAATACTTGAATTGCCAGACATTTTTCAATAAAACGAATAAAATTACATAATGATAAACTAAATTGAACATCGTTGTAAGATTATTACTTAATATATTTTAACCGTTATCTATCTATATGTATAAAAATGGTATCCGGTGAATTGGTCGCGAACAATTGATCGCTGGTGAATTGGTCGCCGGTGAATTAATCGCGGGCGAATTGGTCGTGAATACAATAAATTGGTCGCCAGGATAATTGATCGTCAAACGAACTTTTTTAGTTTTTAGTTATTTTATTATAATATTAGGTATATTTCCGAGTTTTATGTTTTTAAAGTTTCTCACAGTTAATTAAATTTAAAATTATAATAAATAAATAAAYAATAATAATAATATCAATAATTATACATTTTAATTTATTTAAAGTTGGAGTTGAAAATTATGGTCTATTCCTTTAAAAAAAATACTGATATAGCATAATCACAGGTAACGAATTTAACACACAGTTTGAGACATATAAGAGGTAAGATTTTTAACGGGCTACGAAATGCACGGGTTCAGCTTGTCTATTATATATATATATATATATATATATATAATATTGTTGAAAATTTTTTACAAAAAACTTTATCATTTCTATCTATAATGTAGGAACCTTACATTTTCGAAATAATTTAATAGACACTTAATTTCAAGATAATAAGTGTTTAAACTTAAAATTTCTTGTTGTTAAAAAAATTAAACTATAGTTACGAAAAGTGTCAACCAATCAATCTTTTTCATTAATTTATACTATCTTGAAAACTATATAATTTTGTTTCCAGAAAATATGCCTTCTTGGTTGAGTGGGTTAATACATAACACAGATGAAGCTAACACCATGACTATCACTCCTCCACCTACTTCTCATCATATTTTGTCCACTGACAAAATAGTTGATGCAAATGTTCCACAGAAAACTGAAAGAGTTGAAAATGAAATCACTGAAGAAAAACATGCTTCGATTTTATCATTGCTCAGAGGAAAAGATAACATCCAAACGTCCATGTTAGAATTGATCCGAGAGCTGGCTAAAAAAAAACAAGACATACAGCAGGCTACAATAACATTGATTCAAGAGCAGCAAAATAGCGACCTTCTTATTAAAGTAACAAGGACATTAAAATTAATTAATACTTCCTATGGATTGTTTATATAAATATTAAATATTAAATCGTATACAGGCGTTCTTAATGGATAATAGTTATTCTGTAATGAACACCGATACACAAGAGTTAGAACGTCTACGGTCTGAGAATCACAAATTTCAACTGACAAATGATCATCTTTCAAAAACACATCAACTAGAATTAGATGCCTTAAAGACTAAATATGAGTAAGGCCTGTGAGATATTTAAGTTTTATACTAAAATAAAAAATGATTGTATAAAATCGTTAATTATTATTCATTTTTTTTTTTTTTTTTAAATAACAGTTGAATTGCATTTGAAATTACATTTCTAATAATTATGATATTTTATATAACTATTTACATCATTTATTATAGGTTATAGGTACGCAATTATTAACTATCCAATTTTAAAGTAAATTGGACATCATGTTTAAAATAAGGGATTGCATTTTGATCTTTAAATTATTTGAAACTAATACGGTTTTATATATTTATAGATTACAGCAAAATGTATTGCATGAAAAGCTAGATCGTTATGAGGAGCGCGTAAATGARCTGATAGAAGAACGAAAAGCCGATATGATGGAACGGAAAGAAAATGAAAAGCGCTTAAAAGACATGTATGAGGAGAGGTTACGTGTGATGCATGAAAGTCATTTAATAGATCTCAAACAAACAGCTGAAGTTCAAAGAATTAAAATGAACCATTTGGAAGAAGTTGAATCCTGTTTACGTGATTCAAAGCCAAAGCGTTTGACCAGCGAAGAAATGACCGCTAGAGAGATTTCAATTACTGCTCAAAATAAACAACTTAAAGGTACGTAGGTAGGTTGCAATAATACAAATGTARATAGCTGAAGTAATAGTACAATGTATTATTATACATAGTCCGCTATTGAGAGGTGTCCGTTAAAGGCGGTTCCACTGTATAAGAGTTATAATTGTAGAGAACAAACCAGTCGGCATTTTAATAAAATAAAAATAAGTTTTTAAATTAATTGGTTATTATTATAGTTATTACATTTATAAATTCACCATTTAATATTTTAATAACAATAATTATTGTTTAAAGAAGCATTAATTATAAAAAAAGGTAATTTGTTAAATATATCTAGTTACTTGTTAATTGAATGATTTTTAAATTGATTTACCTACATAATTAGTTAAAATTAGTATTGTAAATATTTTTAATAATTTAGCTTTTAACGGATTAACTGAAAGAGCTGGTTGGTGGGTGACGCCTTGCTGTACARTAGGTTACAAGTGAGTCACTGTAATGGATGGTGTTACATTTTATTTCAATGATCTTATCCCATTGTATACGAAAAACGATTTTGATCGGAGACGGCGGTTTGTCGCCCTAGGATATTTTATAATATATTTATTAATATATTAATACAAACACAATAGCCGGTAGGATGAACTCTTATTATTTGCATATTATCATAATATGTTTATGTAATAACATACTTTAGAAGTTTCAAGTACACACGAATAATATTTTCAAGTTACAACCAACTTAAATGATTATTCTAATAAATAAATAACTATTATGAATTAAGCTCAACATTTTTCTAATTTCCGCTTATAGAAATTAATGAGGAGTTTTAGATTCAGAACGAAGTGATGAATGTATTGATTTTACAATAGTTTGTGTTTTTTTTTGTATCTGTGTATAGCATAACTAGTCGAAATAATGCTTCAATTTCAAACTTTGGGGGTGATTTCCGATGGAAAAGTGAATATCCTTGGTGCATTATAGAGGCCAAAAGTAAACATTTTCCAACAGTTTAAAAAAAATTGAGGTAGACAAAAAAAAAAAGATGACAGAAAAACAGGAATTTTTACGTAAAACCAGTTTTCGACCGAATCGATTTTTTTATATGGTTGTAATTCAAAAACTAATCACTATAAATACTTGAAATTTTCACAAAATGTTTATGTTAGTGTTATCTGTATACAAAAATTAAAAATCGTTATTCAAATTTTTTTTTATAAGCGTTTATAATTTATAAATTTTTACGAAATCTGTCGAAAACGCAAAATTTGTAAATAATTTTGAAGTTGAAAAATCATAAAAATTTTTGTGTTTATAACTATGGATTAAAAATGCAACACCAAGTTTTCCATAAATTTTCCTTCAAGTAGCTATAGAGAAAACTCGAAGCATCATAATACGAAAATTTTTAGGTGAGTTTGTTTGAATTTTAAACAATTATACGATATAATTATATACGATAACGATTTATCCTCAAACGATTTTAAACATTTGTTATTATTCAAAAAGTATAAGTCGTAGATACTTGAAAATTTTACCAGTTATTTTGATTGGCATTTTCTTTACATGATTTAATTTTAAAAATATTTTGACTTTTATTGATATATTTATAGACAACTGAAATTTTAAATTTTTCTGAAAAAATTTTTTTGAAGTGTTGATAACATTTTTTTTGTCCAATCAAAATACTTGAAAATTTAATACAAAGTTTCTCATAASTTATTCTTATAGTGATTAAAAAATTATAAGAATACATACGCACAATTTTTTTTAGTTACCATTTGACGTTCAAATATTGACAAAAATTCGTCAAAACCATGAATATTTGCAAATTATTTTGTAGTTCAAAATTCATAAAATTGTTTGTATTTATATCTAAGGTTAAAAAATTCAACACTAAGTTTTCCATAAGTTTTTCTTCAAATAGCTATAAAGGAAATTTGAAGCGTCATTATAAAAAAAAATGTTTT